GAGCCTTCCTGAGGTGGTATCTCTAAAGAAATCAGGACACAAAAGAATAAGGAACCACAGCCTACCTAGGAGCTGTACATCATAGTAATCATGATCTTAAGAGACTACATCCATACCTTTACCTAAAATTTCCTCAGAAAAGTATTTTTAAAAGAAAAGCATTTTAAATAGTAGAAAAGTCTTGCTACAATCAGACTGATTCTCTTTTGGGAACTTATATACTCTATGATATTTGCAGTATTTAATTTAGCATTGTTTTTCAGAACAGTAACATGCCAGGCGACATTTCAGCATAGAGACTCTGTGTACTCACAAACTTTGGAAGTAGAAACTGTGGAAAAGTCTACAGAAGGCTGAAGAAAAGTATTGCTAAGCCACAGCTGGTTAATGTGCAAAAATCACTTCAGCAGCACTGTTGAAATGATTATCTAGGTACCTTATAGATTTTAGTGCTTCCATGAAAGTCTGATTCAGAATTAGAAAAAGTCCCTCCTCCCTGCAGTAACTCTTCTATGTCTCTCTGCAGGTGGGTGGTGGGATAGAAACAACACGCAGAAGACCAGTCCCCACGGAAAGCATCGATAATAGTGAGGCCATCAGATTTCTGGACTTGGAGAATTAAAAGGCCAGGCAGCAGCCACTGGAGTCTGCTACAGAAAAGAATCAAGCTGGGACTCAAGAAGGGAAAACAAAAACTCCATCATTCTTTGCTAGAGCAGACTCCTTTGCAAAACTAACCTTCCACAAGTAACCTGCCTGTAACTCAAACTCATCCTGCTGCTTTTGAACTTCACCAAAGCTGGTCCCCTCAGTATTCACTTATATCCCACAAAGAAAAGGCAAAGTGAGGAGAGGATGCCTTGCAGTCTGACAAAACCCATCTAACAGGAGGGAAATGACCTGTCCTGCATTTTGTGGATCACACTGTACTTCCTTGCTTTTGAGTTCTCCTATGAAACAGTGCTTAGCCTCTTAAGAATCAGCTAACAACTCACCTACTGAGATAAAAACCTATCCCAGTAAAGTATGGGCTAGATCCATCAAATTCAAATTGGTAATTTAAAAAAAAACCCAACTAGAAATACACTTTGATATGGAACATACAACTCTGAGCCCAATGCGGCTGCCTAAAAGAGGGGAGAATGGGTAGAAGCACCAAAACACTGACTACCTGCTGCTTCGAAAAAGCGATGGCAGAGTGATCATCAGTCTGCGGCTCAAGACAGCTCTAGTTTGTACAAGATTCAGGTACAGCTTCTACAGTAAACAATCCACAGTATCTTCTCCGGAACTGCAAGCAAGTAATCCCGCAAGGTGCATGGAAACACCAAATGAGGGAATCTCACCTGTCATGCAGTGGCGCTATACAGGCAGTGCAGCTAATCACACAGTCACTTCTTCAGAGTGACCACACTGAGCTGCTTGTCCTCCTCCCCATTGCTCTTCATAATGTATCCCCGGTGACTCCTGGCCATAGAGACAGCAGAACATGGCTGGTAAAGTCAGGATGATTGGAGACTGAAGTCAAAACAAGTAGTGAAAGGTGGAGGCGGATGCAAGAGGAAAAAAAAAAATTCTCCCAAAACATTCAACACCAGGACTTAATCTACAGGTTTGTGCATTTCCTGTTAATGATGATAAACATAAGAACTCATGTGAAATGCTGTTTATTTTCAGAGATTAACACACTGGCTCTTGTTTGTAGTTTAATTGTCTATAAATTGGTGGTGGCCTCTTAAATTGAAGAAAAAAATCTTCAGAAAATAAAAAAGCCACCTATCCCAAGGGATCTACTATCAGTTGCCTAAGAAGGAACTGACAGAGCTTTGACTGCATAAACTGAGGCCAGCCAAGTTCTTGCACAAGGAGAAATCTTCTAAATCTTCTAATCTGCCTAAACAAACCCTTTTCCTGATTCAGTTGCTCCTCTCCATCCTTCACTGAAGATATATCTCAACTGAAATCTCCCCAGCCTCCCTTCTCAGCAGCTGCACATGAGCTGCAGGGATCCTTGCATCGCAATTGGTGCACTGCAGGGAGAGGAATGCAGCACTGAATCCTAATGCTTGCCAAGTGCTCTGGGATTTACAATCATGTAGGAGGTAATGGGGTGAAACAGAGTACGCCAGGTAACAGAGGAAAAGGACATGGAGGAGAAACGCAGCTGCCCTGAAAACGCTTGCAGTTTCTGAGATGCAAGACAGCAGAAGGAAGGAGTAACACCACTGCATTTTAGGAGCTTTCAGAAACGTGGCAAAGCCATGGCCATTGTGGTACTTTCCCTCAGAGAGGCAATATTAATGTCAAACTCGCGGCAAGTTTCTAAATGAATTATACTTTGCCTACAGCAAATATATTTTTTTACAACTAACTTTATTTCGAATTATTAACATCTTTGTTCTAAAAGCCAAGCAGGTAACTTTCGCTTATCACAAAACCTGAGCTAGTAAGAAGTCCCAACCCACCTGGGGTCTCCCTCTGTAGCATTTCCAGGTCCAGGAGCACTGGGGACTGCAGACACCCTCACACTGCAGAACCAGGAGAGGTTCAGCAAGCTTGGCCATGTCCCTGGAAGGGATAAGGAGGCAGGGGTGGGTACAGGGCTTGCAGAGGTGGTATGAGCTGGTGCCTGTCTAACGCCGCACACTGCCACGTGCTGTTCCTGTATAGCTGCAGTCTGGTGGGATGCTGCAGTTATTTAGCCCTTGGAACACCACAAAGTACGGTGCACGGACAGGCAAGTGGCTGGGCAGCAGCAATTCTGTGAGGCTGGATATGCCTACACCTCACTCCCCAGTGTATCACAGACTTGCGTTATCCAGGATTCTCAGCTTTTCTGTAGCTAATGCCTAAAGGGCACTTGACTGCCAAATGATATAAAATGGAGGCTAGACAAACAAAAAACCTTTTCCATTTCTACTCAGAGTAGAGTAAATTCTACTCAAATAGAGGTAAAAACCCAGGGCTATATTGTACATCCAGATCAAGTGATATTGGGCCATGAAAATTTTTGTGGAGCTAAGAAACTGGAAGATAGTTCTCTCATCCCTGTCCTCATATTCCCACACTTGGACCCCAACAGAACCTCAAGTTTAAGACACAAATACAACACACAAGGACTCTTCTCAAACAGTTTAATAGCAAATAAACAAAGGAAGGTACCACACTTGGCATATACAAAATGACTTGTTGTCGGTGTGTCTGTGCAATTAAAACAGCTTTAAGTTGCCCTTTGGGACAAAAAGAAAAAAAAAAAAACAAACAAAAACCACACACACAAAAGGAAGAAAATTCCTTTAACACATACTCGCTCGTCCAAACTTGTAACAAATCTTTTCATTTTTAAATCCACTACACACACTGTGATCAGATCAGAAAAGCAACACGTGCTCCTCTGCTTTTTAAACCATTAAAGTAAAATCCGTAATTCTCTACAGAGTACAACACAATTTCACACAAAGACATTTTGTTTTGCAAATCAAAACAAGAAAAAAAAGGAACAGCTTAAACAAGGTAAAGAAAAGCATTTCTACGACTGAACCACGACTTCGAGTTGATTAAATCCCGTTACGTCAGAACAGACTCTACATTTGGTCATAGTGGCAATTTGTTTTCTCGTCACATTGTGAATCACTTTACATTGTTTTCTAGTAGAAAAGGCAAAAAACTGTACAAAACCCCTAGTGTTAAATACAATGTTTGTACCAATAAAAAAGCCCACAGGTTTGTCTCCAAAATGTAAATTTTCTTTTTTAAATTATTCACAAAAAGCAGCCGAAAATCAGAAAGGCAGCTGCTGCTCCACTGTCTCAAATCCATTAAAACCACCACAGAACAATTAAAACAAGCAAAGGAAGAAAAGGAAAGAAGAAAGGAAAGAAATATCCAACGTTTGGCATTTTGGTTTTCTTCAGATATTTCTCCACAGGTTTCCCCAAAGTTCCTTATGGAACAAATGCGCATGTACAGAAAGGTGCCGGCAGTTACTCGACCTACTGCCGGGTGTCAGTACCGCCCACTGACACGCAGCACTGTGCATTCAGACTGTGGGACTGATAGCTGCCAACCCACAACCCTACCTCCCAAATAAACAAGCTTCTGTCCTTTTTTCATCCAGCCTCACACTTCACTCCCAGGTATATGTACTACATCCAAACATGCTCTGTCTTAGAAGCAGATTAAGGACTGTCTACACAAGTCTAGCCAGCATCAGCTGAGAATACAGCATCCTCGGCCAAGTCAGAGTAGGACAGAAAAAAGTCCTTCTGCATCTTTGCAGTATCCCGAACAGTGGACAAAAGTAAGATTTCTATCCAAACACAATTTGCTTCCTCCACAAAACTCCTTCTCCTGGGATTTCCTTTCACGTTATTTTCTACTGTTAAGACACCTACACTAGCTTGCTGCTGCTTCTGACTGAAACTTCATCCCAGCATACGCTCTTCAGGTGCCTTCATCTAGAAGCTACGTCCCAGTTTCTACCTGTGCAGACGGTATGTAGGGTAGGGGGAAGCCTGCTACCCAGAAAGCAGTAATGCATTCTAGTTCATCCTGCAAGCCAGAAAAACTGCTTAGCTCATCACCCTATTAAAAACTAAACAAAAACTAAAAAATCTCCATAGAGATTCCCCAGCTAAGGCCCTTGAGAAGAAAGCTGGGGATGGTACCCTGTTCAGGTAACAGCTTCAGAGGCTGTTGTATTGTGCTTGTCACTTGGGAAAAGAGCCAGCAGTTGTAGGACCAGGTTTACAAATGCTTTCTCTGCAGTATTTCAAACACTTTGTTTTGAGAGCTAACCTAGATCCTTCCAGGATCCTGCCACCAAGGTCTGACTGACAGTATTAAACTGGGGCTGGACTTCATAAAAATGTGCCCTGAATTACAGAACATTGTCACAGAGAGCGTTGGCAAAGGAGCCCTGGCTTCAGACAACTTTGGAAACGGAAATAGTGTGAGGGTCCCCCACCTTCCTGCTCCCCAGCTATACCCTCCCCCCAGAACTTCCACTACAGGAACAGCACAGCCAAGCCCCTGGGAGCCTCCAACAGCACTGGAGATGGAGCAAGGTCTAGATGCTCTGTCAGGCAGACAGTCTAAGTGCACAGGCAGATGCCCTCAGGTAGCTTCCGAACATGTATTTGTCATACCAAACCCACCAATTGAGTGGACACCTTTGAAACTCATCACATTGCTCAGTTTTTGCACAAACTAGAGAAAACAGAGAGGTGAAGGTGATCTATACGAGGGTGTGAAGAAAACAGCAGGAAACATGCAAAACATTTCTGGGCACTATCTTAGTTTGAAAGATCAAAATGAAAACATCACATTTTGCTGAGGAGATTGTAGTTACAAAAAAACCAAGCATGCTGGAGCTTAACAAAATACAACATCAACTTTGATCAAATTTTCACTGCAGACTGATAATCACACAGGGAAGCGGCAGAAAAAATAAAAATAATAATAATTAAAAAAAAAAAATCAATAAATGCCAGGGCAAAAATGTAGCTACAATCAGAAGAAAATGTAGTTCAAGTGTTTTCTGCTGATGCCACTCAAGTCACAAGTTTGAACTCATAAAAACACATGCTGTCTCCTCAAGCACAGAAACCAGATCAGCAAAATGTGACTAGGAAGTCTCCTGAAAGATTGAGTCACACCATATAACTGACTTTTTCTTCAAAACTGTGTTTTTAAAACTAAGCACACAGAAAAACTAAGCCTAGAAAGTGATTTGCTGTATGTTCACAGAAATACAAATACTCCACAAGGTATGCTAGCAAGGCTGCTCTGAAGACAATTACAAAGAATCAGATTCACAAAATCAAGTGGTTATCTTACGAAGGTCTAGAAAAATAGAAATTCTTTTATATTCAAATGCAAGTTTAAATATTCCCCTTCAGCAGTCTTTCTAGCAAAACCAATTTGGCAGCACAAAAAAGAAAAAAAAAAAAAAGAAAGAAACATAATAAAAATACACATCAGCATCAAAAGTCAACACAAGGTCAAAGGTGAGAGTTCAAGCATCAGAGAAGCTGAAGAGACAAGGATTTGGACGATGTACTTGAACGCCACATCGACATGCTTTAGGCACAACGATGAACAAACGGCAGGAATCTAGAAAAAAAAACAAACCAGAAAGAGGGAGACCCACTGAGTTACACAGAGCAGTACATCCAAACACGGAGAGAGAGAACAGGGATGGGCACTGTACAATGAGATCTCCTGGGGAGGGGGGTTGACAGGGAAGGGCAGCACATGCCAACGATGGACAAGTAAAAGTCGAAGTACATGAAGGACACCAAGTCAACATCAAACTGCCAGAAACCAAATGGAAGCAGAGGCCTGGATTTCCCTCTCCACACCCAGCTTGCGGAGCACTCCACAGCCTAATGACACACTGCTTAGCATGCATTCACCTTGCCCTGTGCCAGTGTCACCACCAGCTCTGTTTAGGAGCACAGAGCAAGCTCGCTCCCCAGGAGACCGACTCCGAAAAATACGGCCCCAGGGCTAACAATTACCCACAGAGACTGAGACCGTGAGAGACAAGAAAGAGGACACAAGGGATTCATAGGTGGTTTGACAGCTGAGACTTTTCTTGCATCCTAACATGGGAAGTTCTTAGGCAGTGGTAGCCCAGGAAACCCATGTTGTTTCCTTCAGCTACAATCCCTTCTCATTCCCTAGGAGCCCATGAAACTGGGGGTGGGTGGTTCAGGATGGCAGGGGGAGACAAAAAAAACCCAATTATACAAGATAAAAACTCCACACATTAGGGAAGAATTCCTTAAGACTTGACTGCAAGTTAAGACTTGTCCTAGCTGAGCACTTTTCAAACCATTAGACCTGCACGGGGATTTTCCATTCCCAACCTTTTATATAAACAGCCCCCAGCTCCCTGACTTTATGAGGAGGGGATTCTGGGCTCTGAGAAGCTCTACAGTCACTGTTGCCAGTTTGATGAGTAGAAAAAAAATGTGGTTCCTCAAGCTTTCTTGAAGAGTTTATAGATAAAATAATTCTTATATCAAGTGATATAAATACCTTTGTTTGCTCCCCTCAGCTGGTGAACTGCAAGATACAAGAACATTCTGGGAAGAACGTGGGAGGCAGGGGAGAGAGGAAGCAAAGTTTTTTTTCTTCCCCCCCCCGACTTCCCTTTATCTCCTGTTCGTGGCCTTATTACTCAGCACATCTCAAAGCTGGTTAGAGACTACAGCAAGGCGAGACTTGCACATTATCTTATAGCACTTATAGCATGCTTGAGAAGAGCATGTGTTGCATTCTAGTTTCAAAGCAACAAGGAGCACTTTGTCCGCTAAACCTGCAACACTCCACTTACTAGAACTGCTGAGATTAATTTGCTGTTAGTATTTTCCGATTCAAGGAAAGGACTTATGATGGAGTTTAAACCAACTCCAGCAAACAGAGTACAATGCAACTGTTGCAGTTAATTCTGTAGCTCTAGAAATACTCTATATAGTTTGCAGATAGCTGTAAGGTTTCAGTCCTAAACCAGAAAGGCCAATTCAACATGAACCGAGGCATGAGAAACAACAAAACATGAAGGCATGAAATCAAGGGACATCTAAGTATGAACCATAGAATTCTTTGTGTGATTTGTTTGGGGTTTCTTTGATACAGATTTTTCAAGTATTTCACTTTTGAGGGGTAAGTCTAATTATCGTTACTGCCCCGACAAAGGACTGGCCTGCAAGGGCAGAGCCATGAGATGCTGGATAAGAACTTAATAATTTGGGGAAAGTTATTCCAGTTTATCCTTGTGTTAGTCTCACAACTGCAATAAATGCGCCTTCCATGTTTTGTATATTGCAGTAGGCATGATCAGGGATATAGAACATCCTTACATTTAAATGTTTGCAACAAGAAGCTCTCAAAGCATTTTATGTGTTCATAGTTGCACCCTTTGTTTGCAATTTGCTTTATCCAAGTTGCTTTTAGATATTTCTAAATGAAACTGGAACAATTTCATTCTGCTTGTCTGTTCTTCCCTAACCACAAAGAAACACTTCAGTTTATTCTACCACGCAAGCAGAATCTACCCTGCTATGTGACCTTTAGTAAGCACATTAAAAGCTTTTTCCTTATAGATTTATTTGCCAGTGAGAAATTTTCTGAGGTGCCTATTTTCCAGACAGTAGCACCCACAGCTAGTAAACTGCCTCACCATTAAAATATAGAGATATTCGCCATCGTCTCAGATACATTTGAAAAATTCCAGTTTGTAATTATCAATTATTTATATTCCACTTGTATTACTGGAAGAAAAAAATAAACTACAGAAAGATATCCTATTTTGGTCTACCGATTATCTAGAGGACTGAAGGATCTATAATTTTATTTACTATAGTACTTGATACTGAGTAGCATCAGACTAAGACTTCAATTGTTCATAATACTTTCATCTTCTTATGCCATGTCTAGTGAAATCAAATGTCTTCTGAGAGAAAAATAAATCTATGAAGTAGACTGTTTCCATCTTGTTTCTAAAAATATGTAAGCACTTCCTGGTGGCACATGTAATATGGAATTCCATTTCATCAGAAGTCCTACTAGCTTTTATTGTAGAAAGTTCAAATTCTTTGGTTTATAAGCATACAGCATACTTTCTTCATGTGGCTATTCAAGCCAGTCCTTCTGCGGTTTATTTGAACTCGCCCAACTCTCACCCTACTATGCAGGAAATAAAGCATTTGACACTGATTTGATTTGCACCTGAATGAGAGCACGATAGAAATTAAAAATAAAATAAAATTTAAAAGCCCCAAGTCCCCAGAATCCCAGACTTCCCTGTCAACGAGTGAGGAAGAAAACTGGCTTAAGACTGGAAGGCAAGAAGAGCCTAAACCTCCAGAGTCAGCGGCAGCCACCAGACAGACACAGAAATGTTGACTTCATCTGATCAGCTCTGACACCAGAAAAAAATCTGCCCAAGTCACATACTTGATACATTTATTAACTTTGGCAACATATACATCGATACACCAAGAAAGGGAAATCTGAAACAAATACACGAAAAGGGCAACATCTTCAGCTGGTGAAAATTGACGCAGCTCTACTGAAGAGAGCGGAACTGCATTGATTCCGACCACCTGAGGATCACATCTTTTAAAATTTAACCTGCATAGATTCTTTTTTTAATTTTTATTTTTGGCAACACTTATAGTTATGCCAGTAAGGCACAAGAGCTAGCCCAAGTTAGGTGTCTTAAGGTGATTATGTCTGGGAGGAGTCACCGATCAAACTAAGCCACAGTATAAACTGGTGAATCTCCTAAAGTCAACAGGAGTTGCACCTGCTTGCAACAATGTCAAGCTTGATCCATAAGTTACGATATTGAGGACACGCTATAGGATGCAGGAGGTAAAAATATCTAATCTGGGGCAACTGAAATGACTAGTAAAGAGGCCAGAGCATCAGGTTAAAAGAACAACAGGACAAAGGTCTCAGATAATACAGTGGGCAGAGTGCAAAGAAGGTAAGAGTGACTGTAGAGACCCCAGAGCACAGTGCTCTCCTCCACTGGTTCACAGCATTTGTCTTCCCCATTTAGCAGTTGTTGGGCTGCAAACGGGCCACTGAAAATCAGTAGTTTCAATCATGCACATCATTATGTGTGTAAAACAATCACATTCAGGATTCTACAAAACCCTGGCCTTTTTTTTTCCAGTGAAATAATTTAGGTAATAAATATTCTCCACCCTGGAGCGGTATAAAACTTCTATAAAAATAGAAACAACATTCTTGGTTACAGCAGGTTGCACTTGGAGCAGTTGCTCCCAACTATGTTTTTTGTTTGTTTCTTTTTCTTTTTTTCATTTTTTTTCTTTCTTTTTTTTTTTGAAAAGTATATTATTTATTTAAAAAAAAATCCCATTATCACCTGGGAGGCCTTCACACTCCAACACTTTTCTCAGAAAACCAGGACACATCTTTCCCATCGTGCAGAATTCAAGTGTACATGGTTCACTTAAGTGTATGTTTACGTTTCTAGAGAGATTAAAATAATTAACATTGAAGGGTACCACATGCCAGCATAACTGGGAAATTTGGCAATCTGGCCTTTGAACCTTTGCCACCACAAAATGATTTGAAAAATACTGATAGTTGATGCCAGTCTGTCTATATTGATGGCAGACAGGTAAATCTAACTGATTTTCAATTTAAGAATGGAAAGGTCTCTTCTTGGATGCTACAGGTCAGGCCTTGTACTGCTGAGGTTTGATATCCCAGGGGACCCAGTCCCTGGGAAGGCCCAACAGACCACCACACGTGGCTGCAGATTCTGGACGTGGTCTCAGGTTTGACGGGTTCAGCGCTCCTCCTGCTGCAGCAGGACAGAAAGTCCCAACCCTGTGTCTGACCCACACACTCACTATTTAGCAGCTGGCTCCCAAATTGCAGTGTTAGCTGGTGCCCTGGGAAACAGCATCACGAACCAGGAACACAAAGAAAACAAGAAAAAGGAGAAAATACGAGGTAAATGAAACTTCTGTTGAAGACACACAGAAATTGTAAACTTCCTCTTGTGACAGAGGTGCATTTTGGTGGTTATAAAATGGGACTCTATTCCGATTTCTTGAAACAACTCAGGCCAGAGTGTCAAAAGTCCTTCGAGCCCCCTAAAACCAGTGTGTAACAAAGGCCCTTAGCAACGTATTAGCAGTTTCACAAGTTTGCAGAAAAAAATGTTTGCTCATTGAAGAGGTGTGTTCAGTTTCCTTTCAATATAGAAGACAACAGATAGTACCAAAAGGCAGAATAAGACTGAATGGCTCAATGCTCTGCTCTGGTTCCACAGCTCCCGTGTTAGCCTGTTTTGCACTGGTACACACCACCTTAAAGGAAAACTGCAGTATAAAGAAATACCTAATTACTACACCAAGTCACTGCATAAATTGTTTTTTTGTTGTGGTTGTTTTTTTTTTTTCTTTAAAAAAACCCAGGAAGTTATCTTTGCAACAGAGTTAAAACTGAGAAATCAAATCCTATGAAAACATGTATGAAACAGGAGCCTCAAGAGCTATGTCAGGGCAATTCTGAGGGCTTTGTATTCACTTTAACGGTGATTTTAATAGAGAAACAAACAGCATTTACATTCTGCTTATCAGAATGAATTCAAAGCAATACTCTGCAAGAAGGACATTATTCTGCAGAAGTGGGGAATGTCACGAACTGTTAAGAAGAAAAATTGTCCAAAAAAATTCTGCAGGTTACCAGGGATCAAAGGTTTCTTGTTTCCAGCCCCAGATGTACTTATCCAGACTAAGCTGTCGTGCTCTGTACCTTCCTACAAAACCTTGATAAAATACATAAGGCAAGTTTTCTTAAATATGGAGAAATTCACTGCATCTCATTAATATTCAACTGTAAATGGAAAGTGAAATTTTCTGGGCAGGGATATTATCTAATAATTTTTTATAAAGTGCTGTGTAAATTGACAGTGCTATATAAATACTACTTTATATACAGAAAAAAAAAAAATCACTGCAGTTTTCCTTTGGCTTGTTAATGTGTTCACCCTTCTAGCCTGTCTCCTGCTTTAGAGATGATTTACTACATCCCAACTGTGACATACAGTTAAGGAAGTTTCAAAGAGTGGATGGGGCATGACAAAGGCTACATGGAGTCAGTTCTTTGCTCACCCAAACTTTGATGGACTCAGTTCTCCTTACCCATGGTTGTTTTCATCAGTTGTTCTCTACTATTTCTGCTTTCCCTTCTCCCCCATGGCAGTGTGGCATCAGTTCTGCTTCCCCTCCTCCTCCCTACCCCAAGGCAGTGTGGTGTCAGTTCCTGCTGCTCCCTTCAATCTTCCCTCCCCACTCCCAAGGAGCTGGCATTGGTCCTTCTCAACACACACTGGTTACAAACACAGCAAACTTCAAATAAGGGGGTGGGGGGGAACACCTCAGCGATATGGCACCTAAACTCCAAAGTAAAACACTGGAAACAAAAGCACAAACTTGTCCTCCATCCGAAGCAGGATTCTCAGCAGAGGCTGCAGCCGAGTCTTCAGGGGAAGATGTGCCAGAGAGGCATGGATCAGCTTCCAGGACTGTAAAAACACAGCCTTAGGGCTTCAAATCACTTAAGTGCGCTCCTCTCCAACTTACCAGAAGATCCTTCTCACTCCAGTCCCGGAGGGGAGGGGCGCTCAGTATGGCTTGCTGTCATTCTTGGAGCGCTTGAGCTGTACTTTCAGACGCTTCATGCCAATCTGAAAGCCGTTCATCGACTGAATGGCAGCCTGTGCAGAGACAGGATTGTCGTAACTTACAAAACCTGAAGAAAGGAAAATACACAATTACACCTGGCAAAGCTCTCCAGAACAGCTACTCACAATTGGAAATGCAGGTACTCACAAGGTAAGAAGAGGCTTGCATGAAATGCCATTTTCAGAAGCTCAGAACTGTTTTAGACTTCAGAAAAACTCTTACTAAGAGCTCTCAGACAAAGCATTGCTTTCTGATGTATAGGCCTTCGGCCAAATGATATACAAAGCTCAGGAAATTAAAATAACATTTTCCAGTCTTCCAACAAAACTGAGTACTGCTGTTTGTTTTGTATGAACTCATACGTGGGATAAAACCGAACCTGGAAAATATTAATCTATATAAGAAAGCTCATCAAATATTCAAGGCTGAAATCACCCTTTTGGCATTGCAGGACTAGATTTGTTCAGAGTGAAGTAGCTGTCAAGGCAGTGTGGCGCTTGTACCACTATTATGTTTAGGTTTCTC